AAGTAAACCAGATGGTGGTGCTGTAATATAGTTTAATAATTGTAGTATACCAGTTAGTTGGTGGTGCTGCAGTATAGTTTAATAATACAAGTAAACCAGTTAGTTGGTGGTGCTGTAGTATAGTTGAATAATACAAGTAAACCAGTTAGTTGGTGGTGCTGTAGTATAGTTTAATAATACGAGTATACTAGTTAGTTGGTGGTGCTGTAGTATAGTTTAATAATACAAGTAAACCAGTTGGTGGTGCTGTAGTATAGTTTAATAAGACAAGTATACTAGTTAGTTGGTGGAGCTGTAGTATAGTTTAATAATAGAAGTAAACCAGATGGTGGTGCTGTAGTATAGTTTAATAATACAAGTATACTAGTTAGTTGGTGGTGCTGTAGTATAGTTTAATAATACAAGTATACTAGTTAGTTGGTGGTGCTGTAGTATAGTTTAATAATACAAGTATACTAGTTAGTTTGTGGTGCTGTAGTATAGTTTAATAATACAAGTAAACCAGTTAGTTGGTGGTGCTGTAGTATAGTTTAATAATACAAGTAAACCAGTTAGTTGGTGGTGCTGTAGTATAGTTTAATAATACAAGTAAACTAGTTAGTTGGTGGTGCTGTAGTATAGTTTAATAATACAAGTATACTAGTTAGTTGGTGGTGCTGTATTAGAGATTAACAATACAAGTAAATCAGTTAGTTGGTGGTGCTGTATTAGAGTTTAACACTACAGGTGAACTTTTAAGTTAGTGACACTGATTATTGTTCCACCTTATGTGCATGGGTAGGGGTCAAAGTGTTTCTGCCACAACCTTTTACAGCATGTTGTTAAGTAATTGATGTCAGTTTATGAACTATTGTTTTTACCTTACATTGCTGATTTAGCAATATCTCACAGTAGAAGAAAGTAAATACCAGATACAGTATACATGAATACTGAAATGAAACTAACTATGCATTTAATGAAATGATTTAAAAAAGTATCTTTATTCTTGATATGAACATCACCTTACAATCCAACATGTCAGAGTCTGAGTCAGACTGACATTGACAATTCACAGACATATTTTGTATACTTTTGTAATACGCCTAATTTTTTGTTTACAACAGACTTGAACATTTTACTTAAAGCTGCTACATTCTACTTAGAGACACGTAGTAAATTTGGAATTATAGCCAACATTTCTTCTGATGTGCAGGGTTGGTCCAATGGCCTTACTCCATGCATTGTGGGTTAGTGATACAAGCATTCAGCTTAGATGTTGCAGCTGTATTACAGTTTAATGATACAAGTATACTGGTTAGTTTTTGGTGTTGTATTACAGTTTAGTGATACAAGTTGACTATTTATTTGGTGATGGTTATTACAGTTTAATGATGCAAGCATTCAGATTAGGTGTTGCAACTGTATTACTATTTAAAGTTACAAGAATACTGGTTAGTTGTTGGTATTGTATTACAGTTTAGTGATACAAGTAAACCAGTTAGCTGGTGGTGATGTATTACAGTTTAATGATACAAGTAAACCAGTTAGATGGTGGTGATGTATTACAGTTTAATGATACAAGTAAACCTGTTAGATGGTAGTGATGTATTACAGTTTTATGATACAAGTAAACCAGTTAGATGGTGGTGATGTATTACAGTTTAATGATACAAGTAAACCAGTTAGATGGTGGTGATGTATTACAGTTTAATGATACAAGTAAACCAGTTACTTGTTGTTGTTTTATTGCTTCTTATTTATTTATAGGTTTTCAGATGGTCTGTTTGAATCGTGTAAGAATGTGGAAGGCCTTGTCCCAGGTTCACCATTACTGGAACTGATGTGTGGGATGTGGGGACCGGACTGCACTGCCCAACGATGGTTGGACTTCATGGGTACAACTCCATCTGCTGGAGGTTTTGCACCTTTCCAGATTCTGTTCAATATAACAGAAGAGTCATCTATAACAGTGAATGGCCAGACTTTTTCTCCCATGAATGAGCCAACTTTCAAGTAAAAGTCACTTTTCTATATGTTTTTTTTGAGCAAGAATTTTTCATGTTTCTATATGACACTAATATGCAATTCTGTTGTATCATCAGGAGAGTTGTTCTGGAATATTTCTGTGTATTGTTTGTGTACAATTGTGTTAGTTGTATCACTGGAAGTCACCCTGGAAAATATGTGTAAAACAGTGATATGCAATTATGTTAGTTATGTCATTAGGAGAGCCATTCTGTAATATCTCTATACCACATTTGTGTGTAGTCCTGTTAGTTGTGTCATCAGGAGAGTCACTCTGAATATCTGTACCATATTTGTGTGTAATTCTGTTGTGTCTTCAGGAGGGTCACTTAGGAATATCTCTGTACCATGTTAGTGTGTGTAATTATGTTAGATGTGTCATCATGAGAGTGACCCTAGAATGTTTATGTACAACATTAGTTTTTTTTTTGGAGGGGGGTGACTATGTGGTTTGTATATTTACATATTTTTTTTTGGGAGGGGGTGACTATGTGGTTTGTATATTTACATATTTTTTGGGGGTGGGGGGGGCTATGTGGTTTGTATATTTACATTTTTTTTCTTTCTGTGACTTTGTAGCTTGTACATTGAAATTTGTTTTGTATTACTTTGTGGCCTGTATATTTAGATTAGTTTCCTTGTGACTTTGTGGCCCATACATTTATATTAATTTTTGTAATTTTGTGACTAAGTGGCCCATATATTATATTAGTCTTTTGAAACTTTGTGCCTCGTATGTTTAGTTTATTTTTTGTGACTTTGTGGCCTGTACATTTAGATTAGTTTTAATGACTTTATGGCCTATACCTTTATACATACATACATACAAATAATTTATTTTATATCATCTAGATGTTCTGAAGCAGCTTATTTGGGTGGTTATGCTTGTTCTTGCCGCGACTGTAAAGATTCTTGTTCAACGGAAACCTTAGCATTTGAAGTTCCTGAGGAGAAGGAACCTTGGCGGATTGGTGGACAAGATGGAATGATTGTCCTTATGAGCATCATCTTTTTTCTCCTCTCTCTTTTCATTACAGTTGCTTATGTACCACACTTACACAAAACTTTCTGTGCTTTGGTGTAACATGTGCATAAATATAAACCTTTCAACGTGTGTGTGTTCAGCTAAGTAGAAATAGCATTAACCCCCTATTCTAATGACATGTAATCAGACTTGAGTGTTAAGCATTTGTTATTAAAATCTCTCCCTAAAATTAAGTAGATATGTTTACTCATAGTGTCTGTTTATAGTTTAACCCCTTAATTGGCAACAACCCTGGAAAATGTCTGTGATTGTGCAACAAGTGTTGAAAAATTGCCAAGTAGCAGGTTGATATCTGTTAATAGAAGAAAAAGTTGATTTTGTTGTACATTATTACTAAGAGCCCCCACCCCCTCATATTTACACACCTTTTCATAAAATGAATTTAAAGATGACAATGAAATGTTAATACTTAGGTATACTGTTGTGTTGCATACCACCAGCTTTTGCAGTCTTTTATTGGGGAATCTACAGATGATGATGAAGCACTTTGATTAAAATCACACTATTCTTGTATTACTTTTTAAACTGCCACGTTGTTAATTATTTATGTAAAGGATTTATTTTAGCTGCATCTTTAGCCGTTTTGGAAGACATTGGAAGAAATGATTCCTGAAAAGTTATTTTCTTTTTATTGGAAGAAGATCAGTTTATTTTTACTTGCAATAACTTGAGCTTTCATGGTGACTAAGTAGTAGTTATTTTGAATTTTTTCTTATGTTTTTTTCACATAGTTTATAGTGTGATAAATATCAAAACAATGTAGTTCAATGTACTTATGGTAGGTGACAGAAAAGTTCTAGGTCATTCCTACATGCTTTTCATAATTTGAGAGATATGTTCTTTGTACTAACAGTTGGTGAAAGAAAGTTCCATCTCAGTTAATAGAAGAAAATGTATTCTTTCTGTCATCAGGTGGTTTTGGGGAAGTACTCTCCCCCCGAAGACTTGGCCGTCTAAATCCCCGTGGTGTGACAGCAACAGGTGTAGATCTGGGCTCCCTTGAAGAAGTAGAACCTCTTCGGTCAAAGCAGACAAGTATATAACCCATTCAGTTTTTTATACAACTGGTTGTACTCGTTTGTGGATCACTGTAAACCACTACGAGTTTTCAAATTAAATACCTGAAGTATGTTAAAATAAATACTTAGAATTGAAATCATAATCTTCTGTACATAAATTTTAGTAAGTGTAATATGCACTTTTAGAGTAAGCCTAGTCTACTGTATGTTTAAGGTGCTACAGTTAGTATCTCAGTGAAAAAAATCATTATTACCATATGAATTATTTGAAATAGTATAGATTACATTAGTGTGAAACAAAGAAAAGTGAATGATAATTTCTTGAAAGGCATTACTATTTTCTTCAAAATCATTTGGTTGGTAAATATTTACGAAATGTTTGAAAATTCAATATGTAAGCTGTACAGCATCTGGTAATGTAATCTGATATTCCTTGTGTTATGTATTAGATTTGTAAATTACTTGTAACTTAAAAGTGCATATCTTGTGTTCCTAATAATTTTTATAATGTTTGTTACTGTTTGCATGAAAATGAAATTATTACCATGATTAGTAACCTCTTTTTGTGTTCTTTAACTTTCTGTTGTATAAAATCAGTATTCTTTTTCTTTTTTCTCAGTATTGATTATTATTGGTTTGTAAGTTCATCTAAGTTTTTGCACAGCAATACTGCCAACTTTTGGTAGTTTATCAAAATGTCAAGTATTAGGTCATCAAGAAATTAATGTTGTTTTATTTTTAGATTAAAAAAAAAACGAACAACTTGTATATCAAAACAAAACACTTATTAAATAAAATAGACTACATTCTTATCTTATTATTATTGTTAATGTCCTGATTAAAGAAATCACTTGGCTTTGAAACAAAATGCATGTTGATGTCCTCTTTAACACCTTCCACCTTTGAATACGTTTTCCCATTAAGATGGTGTTGCAGCAAATGAAAAAGATGGTAATCTGATGGTGCCATATCTGGAGAATATGGTGGTGGGGGAGAACTTCCCAACCTAACTCCATAATCTTGTGTTGCGTCAAACATGCCACATGTGGATGTGCATTATCGTGGAGAAGAACACCTTTCCGATTGATGAGTGAACGGCGTTTCTGATGAAGGGCTTGATTTAAATATTCCAGTTGCTGACTATAGATCTCTGCATTGACAGTTCGCTGTGGATTGAGGAGTATGAAATGAATTACTCCTTTGATGTCCCACCAAATGTAAAGCATCACTTTATGTGGATGGAATCCAGGTTTTTGGATCGGAAGTGGTTTTTGTCTAGGACTGAGCCATTGTTTTTGGCATTTAATATTTGCATAGAGAATTAATTTTTCATCACTGGTGACAGTTCTGTCCAAAAATGGCTCAAATGCATTATGTGCCAGAAGAGACGAAGCAACGTTCACACGTTGGAAACGATGATCATCAGAGAGTTCGTGAGTTACTCAAACATCTTCTTTATGGAGTTTTTCCATATTCTTTAGATATTTACATATTTTTTTATGTGAGACATGCACTTTTAGGGCCATTTCACGAGTGTGTTGCTTTGGGTTAGACTCAACAAGCATCTTCAGAGCATCAATATCAATTTCAACATGTTGGCTCCTGCCATCACAGTTTTTAGGGCTAAAGTCACCTGAACGAAATTTGCTGAACCATCATTGACACTTACGAATGTTCAAAACATTTCCATAAACTTTGATATTTTTTGCGGCTACAGAGGCGTTTTTTCCCGTCCCGTATTCAAACAGCATTACATGCCAAATGTTTCTTGTTGTGTGCCATCACTATAAGGGATTAGAGTATACTAAACTTTACACATTATATAGGCTACACTAATGTGATATTTAGGTGGTTCGTATAACTATTATACGAACGGTACGTTTTTTGTGGGGTGGTTAATGAAAGTGTTCGAAAATCCGACATTAATTTCTTTACGACTTAATATGTTTACTTTCTGTAGCTGTTTTGATCTTATCTTGTTATAACATTGGAAATTATCTTCAAAATCTGTGCTGACATCTAGTGATAGTTATGCACAACATTATAATTTATGCTATAGGCTATAGCTGCTAGAGGTTTAGTGTTTTGAAACTAAGTCTAATAAGGAATTTCGAGAATATAAGAGAAATCCTTAGCATTAGATAAATGTTTATTCAAAACTACCATTCTGGAGAAACCACAGCATCAATTGGAGAAAACTGCATTAGTTTAAAACAAACTTCTTATGATTATATTATTGACAGCTAGGACTAAATTGCATGTGTTGGCTGATACTTAATTTAAATAACAATTTTTTTTCTGGCTGTTATAACAGATATTTCTGCTTTTCTTATCTAACTGCATTCAACTGTACTATAGCTGATACTGCTATCATCAAGGGAGCCAAATTGTAGTTCATCTTCAAATCTAGTTTTCCTTTATGTCATCAACTCCATGATGGTGATGGTGAAATAATGTCAGAGATATTAAAACATCTTTTTTGTCAACTCAATTGCTGTGAATATTTTCAGTTATGAAGTTTTTGTTAAGCCTTTTGTGTGGGTTTTTACTTGAATTAGCTGCGATAGTATTTCTTGACAGTTGTATTTACTAGAAATTTTTATTTATTTGTTATCTAGGAAAAGGTCTCTCTGGTGGATCAGTTAATGTAAATAACTCAAATTTCTCATCAGCTTGTGTTTTTTTCACTTTATTTAAAAAGATGAATCAATTCTTGTAGGTAACTAAAAATTCCTTACGGACTTGTGTTTCTTTTTTCACTTCATTTGAATGTTAGTTGTTTAGGGGTCTCAGCAATGGATTAGTTCTTATAAATATCTTAAAATGCCATTCCAGCTTGTGTGTTTATTCAGTTAAAAATTAATTTCAAATTCAAAATTACTAGTAAATAGTCCAGGTTATCTCAATTGTTAAAGTTGGTAATAATTTTTGTTTTTATTAGTATTGAATTGGTTATTAGGATATTTGACATGGATAATGTCTTCCTGATAATATGGTTTAAGAAATGATTAAATGTTCCTTAGATTCATCACAGCATCAGATGGGTGATAATATCATATCATCATCATCCACTACAAGCAGTTTCAGTGAGGGTGAGATGGACAAGAAAGTAAAAGCCAATGGGACCCCAAAAACCCAGATTCTTGATGATATATCCTGCTTTGAGAAACTTGGAGCGAGTGCAGAACGAACTTTAGAATCTCTCTTTTGTTGGTGGGGAACATTTGTTGCCAGTCATCCCTTGCCCATCACATTACTTGCCCTTCTAATAAGTATACTACTTGGTCTGGGGCTCGTCTTCAAGTTTGAAGTTACCACCAATCCTGTTGATTTGTGGGTGTCTCATTCCAGTAAAGCACGGCAGGACATGGAGTACTTTAACAAACACTTTGGGTTAGTTTTTTTCTGTTAATGGTATAATCTGTCTCTGCTGTTTGTGTCTCAGTAAATTACTAATTCATTTGTATCTATTCAAAACAAAACTATCAAAAGGAATATTTTGTTCTGTTGATTTTAGTTTTGATAAGTGTTATGTAATGGCTCTTGTGTTATCTGTTCAAAAATGTAAAAAATAAATAGCTTTTGTTTAAAAATTCTCTTTATTTTTATCAAAGAAATATATATATGTATGTATGTATGTATGTATGTATATGTATTTTACCTATTATGATTGAATATCTCATTTATGCGAGTAGTAGGAATTTAATAAAATATCTTGGATTTCCAGTCCTTTCTATCGTGTGGAGCAGATTATCATAACTCCATCAAACAATGAATCTTTTGTAGCAGAAGTGAACAAGGATGGTCTTGCTAACTATACATGGGGACCCGTGTTTAGGAGGGACTTCCTTCTAGAGGTAAGTTTCTCTGCTAATTATACATGGGGATTCATGTTTAGGATGGATTTCTTTCTAGAGGTAAGTTTCTCTGGTAATTATACATGGGGATTCATGTTTAGGATGGATTTCTTTCTAGAGGTAAGTTTATCTGCTAACTATACATGGGGATTCATGTTTAGGATGGATTTCTTTCTAGAGGTAAGTTTATCTGCTAACTATACATGGGGATTCATGTTTAGGATGGATTTCTTTCTAGAGGTAAGTTTATCTGCTAACTATACATGGGGATTCAT